AAGACCGGGGTTTGGGTTGGGTTGGGGGGGGGGGGGGGGCGGCCAGGGGGGAGACCCTCAATGTTGTTCTATCTCTCCCGCATACGTAACACATATGTTGCGGAGCTAAAAACAGCCATCACGGCGAGTTTCGGGACGTAGCTGCGAGGTTTCCTGCAAGCTGGTCCATTGCTTCTTGTCCATCCTAACTCTGTATTAAGTTACAGGTGGACAAGGCGTTGTGGGGAGCTGGGGGTGGATGATGATAAACACGCCAACCCGGCCAGGTTGCTCTAAGCCCCATCCGGGTACAACCGAACCAGGTGACCTGCGCCAAGGACCTTGCAGCTGCCACAGCTGAATAACCTCGGATGATCAGCCTGGGTGTGTGTGTGGAGTAACTGTTGAACGCGCATCTCTGCTACTACAAAATTCCGCGAAACTCTCACAACAGCATGTTATTATAAGATCGTAAATTGAATGTGACGTAGTATATGTATATCCATTAGACATGGGTAGGCCATATTCCAACCTGTATTGATGAAGTCATAGACAAAACTTTTAGTTAGAGAAACGTATTTGAGGATCTTTTTCAATTGAGAGAATTAAACAGAACTTACTAAACTAGCTTTTATATTAAAATTTGAACTCTACAAGTCTAATTAGCAGGTTAATATATTGTAATATTTTATAGTTTATATTAAGTAGTTATTGATCCAAGTAAGTTAACTAGTTTATTATATTATATTATTTTAAAATAATAAAAACTTATAATTATTTTAATTAGTTTTTAATATTAAGTATTCAAAAACTATTTTTATTTAATAATTTAATAAAAAATTAAAAAGCATTTTATTAAGTTATTAATTTGTATAAACTATATACTGTAAGTTAAATAGCTTCATATAAACATTACCATTACTGGGGATACGGTACCTTGGTAGCCACTGATTTTACCTAATGACAGAAATTAAAAGAACCAGCCAGTTTATTAGTTTGTCTCAGCCAATCACCTGATCTGCGCATTTGAGCCTCAGGCAAACAGCCTATCTCAACGACATCGATTTCATGATCCTTTACCCTCTTATCAAGATATTGTTCAACATAATTGTTGTCACCCGCCTTGGACACTAATGGAGCCTCTTGTGCCACTAAACCCGCGTTGCTTTCCAAAACCCCACTCTGCCCGCTTTGAAAACAAGGAACTCGGGGCTCCATTAGAGTGCTTGTACAATAGGTTTGCTTCAAGCCTTTTTATATTCCTTGAAAGCCATGCCGTTTGTTCGTTGTGCTTAATGACGCGATATTCTCGGTAACTGAAACAAAGAGCCTTCGCTGGAGAAGTATATTGGCGAACAATGAAATGCTACTCGTCAAGTCAATTGTTTTGATTGTCCGTCCATATAAACCGGCATCAGCCTGTTTAAACTTTTGTCACGTTCCTAACAAAGAGAATTCAGTCCTTTTTTTTGCCGTATTTCTCGCCTTATTGGAGGTGGGAATTTTTCTTTTTCACTATTTTCCAAAGCCTTTCAAGGAGCTACCTACGCCGGTGTGATGTCCAATCCAATCCGGAGTCGGGGGGCCTAATAAAACTATTTGACCCCCAACTGCTTCCTCATGCAACTTAGAGATGGTACGGACGATAACAGCTTGTGAGATGCAGCAGGTCATGAATAAAGCTGCCGGGGGAAATTCCTGGGCCCTCGTTGTCCCGTTGATGTCTAAGACGTCTTAACATGCTCCGATGTCTGGATGGCCGCCGAATGGCCCCATGTCCGGTCATCCCTATGGTAAACCCTCACTAACTACAGTTAGCACGCGACTTCCTTGGAATTCTACAGTTGTTCATGTTTGACACTTTTATTCTTTGTTGGTGGCACAGATGCTGGCCAGTCTCTTTTTTTCTCGACTGCTACCAGTTCATTTTCCATCCGCAAATCTCTGAAGTTTGGGTCAGGACTTGTTGACAAAATCATCCCTTCTGGCACAGGTGGCAATCCTGAAGACCCTTTTTCTCAAGAGGCTAGCTAGGGCATGTGGGGTTGTTTCTCTGCAAGTCAATGACGCAGTTGCTCCAAGTAGATCTTCTTGAATGACGCCATATGTGTGTTGCTGGTCTGCAGCAGGAGATACATCTCATACCAGGCATCTTCCGCGAATTGGAATACACCAAATTCGAACAACATCACATCCACTGCCTAAGTCGCCCTCTGCAGAGACAGCAAGCCAGGGTTCACAACGGTTTTCTGAACTAGCCATGTTTGTGACAGGTGACTGTGCTGGCCGAGAACTTGAGCCTTCGTGAGGAATACTTTCGTTGCCTGCAAGGAAATGGAGCCACCATTTTTGAAACCCAATGGTGGGCTTCTGGGGCAACAGCCCCGGTATTTTACATGGGAATTAGTGGTCCCCGGAGCCAGCTCTCGTTCCTCCTGAGCCACGCATTGGCCTCTGCGATCACACAAACAACATACCAATTGTTCAGGGCGGCATCATTGTCAGATTCAGTAGCCGCGTAATCCTTCTATTAAGTGTCGAGCAAAATCCCTTCATATTTCCTGTTAGATCCTCAGAGAAAGGGGGTTTTGACAAGTGCTGCCCTTGATGTGCACTGTTCAGATCAGTTGCCGCGAGTTAAATCAACTTCCTTTTTCTTCATTGAAAAGAATTACCACGACTACGCTGTCATTGATATAGCCTGCGAAGTCGGCTGCATGTCACAACGCCACTCAAAGATACCATTGGTTTAGAATACTTCGGTCAATGTTAGATTCTTCTCCATAGTTGGGCAACATGTAAGTTGCTACAACCAAGCAAATGGCCATAAGTAGGGAGATTGCTCCCGACTAAACCACACCTGATCCCAGATTTCTTCATTTCCTACAACATCCAACTTCTACTTCACCTCGCTCTGGATTTAACCGAGCTTAGTTTTACCCATCTTCACCCCATCGCCGAATCCACGACGACAGATACCTTCAGCAGACATGTGTACTCAATATTGGTACATCTACACTTGTGGGTGTGTGATGTGGGATGACAACCTGGTCTTGTATTGTCATACAAAAGGTCCAGCACACAGGATAAAGGACGTCAAGAGATATGCGGCCGGCAAATGCGACAATCACTATAATGCAGCTCGGTAAAACTTCATACTCCTCCATCAGACTTACCTGTAACATGAGATCATTTGCTGAGAACCCAAGAGTCGAACCAAATTGTGAGCCTTCACCACCGAAGACCGAAACTTGACGAACCACTGTACGGTTTATAGCGCGTAATGCCTCTGTTTTTTGGGCCTTTTTTTTTATGAGATATTTTCCGTCTCTGTCGGCTATCGTCTTTCCATGGATGAACTTGAGATTTCATCCCGATACGGGCTACTTCCGAACTGCTCTTCAACAAATCTCCACTTCCACCACCCCTTCGGTCTATCTATTAAACTTTCTAAACAAATTTTGGATATTGAGGGATTCCATAGCAGCCCATCTCCTTAACTTTTCAAATTCGGGTTGGAATGAGATCTTGCTTGCTATTCCTTTTCTTCTAGAGATATTGGAGTTATCCCATCCCCTACCAGATGTTTCCAGTCTCATTTTTTTTTCTGTGTATCCTTCGACCTTTTGATCCCTCGACTATAGCTCATCTTTCTTGTTTTACCCTGCGTCGTATGTTCCTCACTCTTTATGTTTTGAGATATTGGTGCCCCTTTAGTTGAAACCTCTGAGCTCAGTGAAGTTGATATCGGCAGCCCAATCGGGAAACATCATACTCCTTCATCAGACATACTACAATCTTCCAAACCTGCCAATACGCGTAGTTTCAGTGCTAAATGTCGGCATTGTTCTAGGGGAATGAAGAGCAAGCTGTTTCCTTCGATAAGGCAACCTTTACTTCAGTTTCCTGCAGGAGAATACATTTTGAAAAAAAAAAAAAGCAAAGTTACACTATCTGTACAAAGGCCGTTTTCGGCTGGCTGGGAAAAAAAGCATGATAAATTGGGCACACTGCATAATTGTTTAACTCTGTTCAAAAGCCAATTATAAATAATGTTCCAAGATATTTTGCTGTTCGGAACTGATTCTTGGATCCACACAAAGCCCAAACGGCGGAAAACATTTTATTAACCGGGCATATATAACTGCAGCAGGTGTAGAGAAATGCATTTTACGCCACACCAACCGCCGATCTGCACGCTGGAGAGTCATTGCTGTCTTCTTTTCAAGCAGCTCTTTCAAATCCGATGACGGGCCGTGCCGCTTCAAGACGTTCTCCGAGTCGTCATCGTCATCAAAAATTGTGACTGGGAGGCTGGTATATGAACGGATTCGTTGTGCAGCAGAGGGTGCATCAGAAATACGTCGGTGTGGGCAGTGCGTGCTCCGTACTGTGGCAGACGATACATCTATATCATTTCGCCAATCCCACCTGCCCTGGAACAATAGCCAAGTTACAAAATAAAGCCTGCCGGAAAATCGACCCACCTGTGTGTCGACCGGCGGTCAAACGGCCCCCAAGTGCCCTACATGATCTTGCGGCACAGCAGACATCTAGCTCAGCAAAACTACGCCGCAATATTATTTTAGGTGCATGAGGTGGTATGAGACCTCTTGAGGAGATGCAGTGATTAAAAGTCATTGATCCGTTTGTTATACCCTGTTTCGGATTATGTGTTTGCAATAAACATCAAGCAAAGTATTTGAAGAGAAAGATAAAATCGAGAAAGCGGCCATTTTCGAAATCCGAGGCCAGAATTTCCTACCCGAGGGCGATATCATGTCATTACTTTTCATTTGGGTGATGAAAATAACGGATGATATTCTGCACCGACTTTGGGTGATGCCATCCAACGGTGAATACAGAGCAAGGGTGGAGAAATGGCTGGATCGACATAGGAGTCCAGGTGATTGATATCATGGCCAATAAGTCGATATCCAGGCATTGCAAAGTTCTTGTTATTTTAACGTGTTTCAGCGGGTTTTGAAGTCTGCTGCGGGGGCCTGAAAAACCTGAACTTAACAATCGAATGCGATTCCCAAACATCGCCAAAACCTTTTGTTTCCCTTGGGCAAATGGCACCGTTGATCATAATTGGCTGGTGTCAGCAAAATCTAGTTTAATCCTCCATCCCTGGCCCTGCCGGGTTGGTTGATGAAGCAGCAAGAGTGAGGACTGCAATTTCATGTTGTAGGAGGTATTGTGTTTAAGAGCTGATCGTTGGTCATAAATGCGAATATATGTCGGGGATAGGGGACTATTAGCTCCCCGGCTTTGCGGATACTCCATTACCCTTCCTCACTGTCTTCCACCACGGGTATCATTTGCTTTTCTTTGTCAATTGTGCGGTGTGGGGGACATTATGATGAGGTATTGATTTCTTAAGCAAAACATGTCAATGAAGTCTGTTCGGCTGGGGAGCAAATTCGTAATGCTGATTGCAGTAAATACAGACATTTTTGGAGAGAAATAAAATTTCCGATATTAATAATTGACGAGAAACTTTGTGCGAAAAATAAAGGGTTGGCGGTCATACATCAAGCGCTAAACGAAGGGCTGCAGTAGTTTCACTCCAAGCATTGGCAGTTGGCTTCTTAGTCCAATAATATATCAGAAAGCATACTTGATCATCAGAAGAGACTGTACTGACCAATTGAAGAACGTTAACGACTAAAGGATTGGGCGTGGATTTTCCGGATGCACCCTATGTTCTCTTTCTGCGGGCTTGTGATGACTCCTCTCGCTCGCTTGAAACAGAAGCCCCATGTATGTATGTGGACGAAAAGTAGTCCTCAGCCGCTTAATGACATCCTTTTGTAGTTGACCAGGTGGAGGACTTGTCAAACTAGACCGTGATCTATATGCAGGTTTGGAGGGTCAGTTTAACAGCTGGAATTCCGAGAGATGTTTCCCCGAATAGCTGTCCAAATTGGTTTATTTTCTAACGCATGGTTGGCATAATGTGCTGCGGCTTCAGGTCGACGATATATAAATGATGCGGGCAAAACAGGCTCGTTGAAATACCTTGTATAACTGTGCATCGCTTGGACATATGTAGGCCACTGTGTCGGAAAATACCCTGACACACTAACATTCTCGGATCCTGCCAAAGAAGGGTGGTTTCCCAGCATCGCAGGACAAGTAAGTCATTGAAGAAACGGTTTGCCGCCATTGCATGCTGCCACCAACAGCTGTGAACAATCAATATGCCGTTTTATATGGAACTGACTCGCAGTGGTAAGAATACTAATTCTGAAGCATTAACGACCCTTGCCAAATAGAGAACTGTCGCAACTAAAAGATTTTATGATACATCAGAGATCCATCCCATTTTCTAGTAAGGAGCTGATTTTGATAGATCAGCAATGGTATGTTAATTGTGAGATGCTCCACAGGTCGAATAATATGTGGGGAGAATGCAGGTTGTGTCGAAGCGTGCAGGGGAGGAGTCAGCTTTACTTCGCCCTTTTCGAGGAGATTAGGGCCTGGACTACGGAGAAAACTGGTTTGCAGAAAAGCAGTTTGATACGGGTATCAAAATGCCCCATTAGCAGGCCCAGGCAAGCCCCCAACTTCTCTAATTAAGGTGATACCGACCTGCCAGTACCGCGAATGATGTTGGCGCATAATAATGCGGAGCTGGCAAACAGTTGTATCAACAAAGCTGAACTTCTTCTGCATGCGGAAAACAAAAAGCATGTTTCAAGAATAATTTTCTTTCAGGGATGCATCTTATTTAACCCTTAGCACAGGAAAGAGTTGCAATCGGCCAAAACTTACTGGTTGACCGCAAGTCATTTTCATTTATGTTTGGGATGGCCTAGGAATAAATGCATGTAACTACACACAATATGTTGAATGTTGTTTGGCTCAAATGCCACTTGCACGTGACACAGAAAGACGATGGCACGTGACATGACGAATTTTGTTCGTTCGAGCCGATTGGAAACTTGCATCAAGGAAGACGGGCAGATTCAAGGGAACAAGAAGCGTTTGGATAGCTGATCAATGTCCGGATTTTACACCCTCAGTTGTTCGTCCTAGCATGCTGGCAGGCCCTAAAATTTTCCAGAACTTTCTGATGTGGGGATTCTTATGTGATGTCAATAGATATTGACTGGGAGCGTGCCACCTCGGGTCCAGATGGCGAGCTTCTGGCGGAACGCATTCGCTCGTTCATACATGATAAGTTCCAACAGATGGTGCTCCCCCGGTTCATCCGTTCGGTGCAAGTCACTTCCTTCAATTTTGGAACGATACCTCCGGAGCTCGAAATCCGCGATCTCACTGATCCATTCCCAGATTTCTACGAGGATGGCGATGAAGATTTATCGGTTAGCTCTGAGGAACAATCTCCAATGCGGGAACAGGCTGATAGGTACAGGGAGAGGATAGATTCGTGGCAGGCAAACTCACCAGGTGGCTTAGAGGTCCAGATGTCGGGAAGAATGGGCTTTGGTCATCCATTACAGTTGGCTCCAGATGAGGACGGTTCCAGGCTCCATCCTCTTCGATCACCCATAAATCTCGGAGATATAAACCCGTATCTATTCCCTAGATCTGGGACGCCAGGAATACCAGGGGGAACGTCGAATTTGGGCTACTTTATGCCTCTGAGTGGCCTTTCAGGTTCCCAGACACCGCTACGGGCTGTAACACGAGGCAATCCTTTTTCAGGTGGGTGGCCAGATTCGCCATTAGAGAATGAAAGCCGTATTGGTCATGGACAGGGGCCCCCTCGCCGACGATCAGAAGTTAATGTTGATGCAATCCAATCTCGACCTTCCACGGCGAATACTGGTAACACTCTCTTCTCGCGTGGCTCGGTTAGCACTGGTGATCCTCGCCATTCCCATTCCTCACAGACAGTGCTGGCCAATAATCCTGGTCAAGCCCCTGAAGCCAATGACTCGCCTGTCAGCGCTGTCCCTCCTCTCAGCGGAACTCCCCCACGTCGGATGCGCGAACAAAAAGCTGAAGATTTCCAAGTCTTCTGCCGAACAAAATATGCGGGCAATATCAGTCTTTCTCTGACCGCGGAGATTCTCCTCGACTACCCAATGCCCAGTTTCGTGGGCCTACCCTTGAAACTTAACATTACAGGTCTCACATTCGACGCGGTGGCGGTTCTTGCATATATTCGACGACGAATTCATTTCTGTTTTCTCTCTCCGGAAGATGCGTACGCTTTAATCGGGCCGGAAACTGGGGGCGGCGGTGGAGATACTATGGAACCAAACTCCCTGCGACGGAAAAATCTCAGTCTGCTCCGCAAAATTAGAGTAGAGAGCGAGATAGGAAGAAAGGAAAACGGCAAACAGGCATTGAAGAACGTGGGCAAAGTGGAGAAGTTCGTTCTCGAGCAGGTGCGCCGGATCTTCGAGGAGGAATTCGTATACCCAAGTTTCTGGACATTTCTTGTTTGAGACCTTCATCCTTGTTTGGGACATCATTATTACTTCTGGGATTGTATTATATTCGCTCCCATGTCCTCAGTTCATATTTAACACATATTAATCCCGAATTCGCACATCGTTATCGGCACACGGCTTAGCACTCATGTATTAATGGAACAATCCTAAAGTTCGTGGTGAAAATCGGAATAACAGTTCACTCAGACGGGGACAGAGGGAATATTATCATATGGAAGCTGTATTTTATCAAAGGGGAGAGCCTATATATGAATTCTACCTCTGAATCTGACATCTCATTCGCACTCCGTGCATCCCATAATTGCGTATGCGAACCGATAAAATGGTTACCTAACTGATCGCTTTCGTATAAATATCTCAAAAATATCACTCCTTCGTCTCTCCAACCGACATACCCGCCATCATTTCGCTGCCCAGCAAGACCAGGGCCGTCACGAGAACGCCATCCGCGGTGAAAAAAAAGTGTCAAACTCTGAAGCCAGCCCTTAACCACTGACTCTCTTCTGCCACGTTTTGGAATGCAGTAAAACTTAGCAAGCACAACAAGGCATTCCCTTCAGATCATTTACCGATCTTTTTTCGGGGTTGGATCCACGTTGCGTTTTGAAATCTGATCACTCAAGTTGGCATACTCCCGCGACAAACCTTCAGACTGCTTCTTCAGAGCCTCGATATCTCTCTCGCGAGCCTCAAGTTCCTTTCGCAAACGGCCAATTTCACCCGCCTTGCCCGCCTCTGTCAATTTGGCCGATTCCTTGCCGCCAGAATTCTTGTCACCTTCATACAGCTTAACTTTATCCTCTAGACGTAGAACTTCGAGAATCATGATGTACGTGCGGTTAAGAATAAGGGAGAGAAATAAGGTAAAACCGCAGAGGTACATATTGCGCTGGGAGTAGAATTTGCGCGCCTGGACTTCCATTCGCTCGGAGCCTAAGGCAGCAGTTCTGCGACTTGGAAAAAAAAAAGCAACCCATTAGCCACGGGTTCACCTTTGGAGGGAAAAATAATTGGGGGAGATTCTGAAAAGGAACCGTATATCTTGATACATACCCCGCTCCACCCAGCTCTTTTGAATAGGACGATAATTCCATCTGCACGCGGTAGACTCTATTGACGCTGTCAATGAAGAGGATAAGGATAAAGATGAAGGTAATCTTGCCACGCGCATGTTATGTCAATTCCTGGTATTTTCTCTTGCAGTGCAATGCAACGGATTGGAAGAGATGGCAAAATGGTCGTACCTTCATGCCATATTGGAGCTTCGCTATGAGGGGACTCTCGGAGATAAAAGTAAATAGTTTCCGTTTCACAGTGAACGGGAGTGGGATGATGAGGCCGACGAAAATGACCATCTCAACCACCAGGAGGAGGAAAACCTATATATCCGGTAACCATATATTAATATTTTGTTTGCTGAACGACAGCTTGAGTGATGCACCCATTCTTCTTCATGGAGACGCTACGCCAAACCACATAACCGAACCAACACGACACAACCACACATGCGTCGAACTATGAAAGATATACGTACAAGGCTGTAATAAAGTGTCATATTTGCGATTTCTTCAATGGATACCAGACAGCTTCTGTAGGGCGGGTATCTATTTGCACTGGCAGACTTCTGATAGGCAGAAGAAAAATGCTCTGCTTCGCGGTTAGCGACAGGAAAACACAACCTTGGAGAGGATGATTGAAGACTTGAAAAACGACGACGGAGTTCTTTATCCTTACCAAATAATAATAAAAAAAAAAAAGATCCAAGTCACAGAGAGGCTTGTGCTGGAGCTGCCTCTTTTATGAACGGTTTGGTGTTGATAATTGGTGTGGTGGCTTGAATGGGAGTTGGGGAGATTTTACAGCAAAACAAGCTTGCAAGGGAAAACAGACGTCATTCGGAGCTAATTGGCGGCCGGGCTACATGTGACTTGGCTTACCCTAACCGCCAATCCGCCAGACACCAATATATATTTATTACGCAGAGAGGATCAGAAGAAGCAGAACATATGTATATTCATTGATTGATGGTTGGTTCGAAGCGTTCGGCTTTTTACGGGAAAGTATTGAACGAAGAGATGTGTCCAGAAATATAATGTATTAATCCAGAATATTCTATTTGTATATATACTCATTGGGTATTTACAACTGACATGGTCGCAAGGTCAATGAAATATATACATACAGCTGCTGCTCCTTAGTCTAAATCAACCCTCAGCAACAATTTCATAGCTATTTGTCTTATGCTTCGGTTCGAATTGGAAGTCTTTATGCGCTGGACCCAGGAACATTTCTCTGTAGATAGGATATATCAAGTTAACAAATCTGCCATCTGGGCAGCTCAAGTACAGGCAGGATACACTTACGAAATCTTGATCCAGTCTTTATAATTATCACTTCCAAGCAGCGTCTCCAATTCATTTCGACCCTTCCAGGCGGGTGGCCGATCCTGGATACTGGGAGGGAGATACTCCAACAGTCCCACGGGTATATACCGGTGCGTAAAACATAAGTACTCAAGCAAGAATCGCCGCGTGTTACCAATACCATACTCATCGGAACCCCATGCTTCAAGTCCATATTTCACGAACTTCTCCACGAGCGCAAGCCGTTCTGTCGCTGACTTGTCGAGATACTGGCCCTTTGAGATCTCTTCGAAAATCCAGGGTTTCATCAGAGCGCCACGCGCAATCATGACCGTGTCAACGCCCGAATCCCGAATTCCGTTGAAGTAATCACCGTGCGAGTAGCAGTCACCGTTTCCGAGGAAGAACACTTTACCCGCAGATGACTGGTATCGTGCGTCGGCTTCTTTGGCGGTATCTGTTCCGCTATTGATTTGCTCGTTGAGTCGTTTGACTAGTGCTGCGCACTGGCCGATATACCCCCAGTCCGCCTGGCGTGAGTATCTCTGCTGGCGACTGCGTCCATGCAGAGTGATTGCAGCCACGCCCGCGGGTCCCTGTCCGATTTCGTGAGATTCGACACCACCCAGGACCAGCCTCTCAATCAATTTGGTAGCGTTAGGATTTGAATCTTTAGTACCCATTCGGATTTTCGCCGTAATGGGGATCTCTCCGGATACGGCGTTCATACCCCTTAGGATTTTCTCTAACTTCGAGGCATGGTCGAGAAGAGCCGATCCAGAACCTTCTCTGAAAACCATATCGATGGGACATCCGCAGTTCATGTCGATGACACGGAGCTGTGGACACAATGCCGTCAGCGCCTCAGTGGCTTTCAAAGCCACCCATGGCTTGTTTCCTGTGATCTGAGCTCCAAACTTAAGGTCACGAGAATTGTCGTAGTCTTTCACTATAGTCTGATTTGGATTGACGGTTGGAGGTAATGTCTCGGATTCATGCGCTTTCATGAGTGCCCACTCGGATTTTGAGCCCTGCACTAAGTTCATGCTCATGGCCATTTCAGAGTAGGTGAGTTGGGCGCCCAGGTCAACGCAGAGGCGTCTGAAGGGTAGATTCCCTTGGGTTGTGAGCGGGGCCAGGACAGGGGTTTCCGGGCCAAAGTAGACTCGTCTCTTTTCCGAAGGGAGAAACGGAGGTTCCGTATATCGTGCCCTGTTCTCTTCCTTCTCATCTCTTAGATCGGAAGCATCCCGGCCATTTGGTTTTTCAGGCTCTGGAGCTGCTTCATCCTGATTTCGTCCGTGCAGGTTCTTTTCAACTTCCTTGGAGACCTTATCAAGCCAAGAAGTGAAGGAATCAGCCTTGGGTGTTTTATATCTCCTCTTGGCAAGAGAAAGTTTATCCTCCGTCGAAACAACGTTAACTGCTCCATCAATTCCAATTCCGTTCGTCGAAGCCGGATTTTTCATTCGAGTGAAATCTTCAACCAGAGCCAATTCCTTTCTACCATCCTTCGTTTCCCTTTCAGTCATGTGAGATCCGACGAACCGACACTTCCAACCAGCAGGACATCTTCCTTTGGCCTCCCATACAGGACAAACGCCGCCAAAAGCATCCAAATCTGCCCGTTTGTACTCCTTGAGATATTTCCGAATGTCGTGCTCGAATTTACATGATGTTCCCCATGGACAAGGATCCGGCGAGAATTCGGAATGATAGGCAACGGTTTGGCAAAGCTGCTTCTCATCCTGAGAACGTCCAAATTTGCGGTTCACATTTTGCCCCCCTTTCTTCGCACGCTTCGCCCTTGATTTGGTATCACTTGCTTGTTCGTGGTGTTTGGCGGCTTCGGCCGCATCGTCATCCGGAACAGTCCCCGGGGGAAGCTGGGTCGTGCCAGGAGAGATCTCAATGAGATATCTAATCGATTTGCGTCAGAAATACTCGTTATGCTCTGTTTGCTTGGAGGAGAGGATTCGATTCTAGCATCTGCAAGCAAGCTCACTCTTTTTTTATGGGCGCAACGCCTTTCTTCCTCTCAACTTTGTTCGTCAGGGTTGTTTGCGAATCAGACACCAACTGCCCATCTAACTTAATCCTCTTTGCTGGGGAATCCGCGTAGTCATCAGTGCGGGCGTATCCATTCGCCTTGCGAATTTCCCCGCCAGCACTCTCCGCCGAACCAGTACCGTTGGACTGCGTCGCATTGCCATCTGAAGGAGGCCGTTCCATTGCAAAGCCTCCTTTGCGTAAACTTTCGGCAATGGCTACCCTATAGAGCAGAGGATCCAGCCAGCGGTTCTAGTCGGTTTGCGTCCTCGCTCTCAGCTTTGTTGGAATAATCAACCCGTAACTGTTTATGCCCATTTTTCTCGCTTGTTCCTCTTGAACGTTTTGGAAAATTGGCGGTTTCGGGTGGTGAAACGTTTACCCGAAATTTGCGCGGTAATATTCTGGGCCAATAAGAGCCCATGATTTCAAAAGCTAGTAATCTACTTCGTTTGACTGGAGGCGAGGCAATACCCTTTCGCAATACCGTCTCACCGCCCCAAAAGCCGGAAGGCCCCTGTGGCAAAAGGAGCCAATCAGAGCCCGTAGAGCGCCTGGCAGAAACCAGATTGCCTAATCTAGCCTCGGCTCCAAGCCCTGAAGATCAATCATTCAAGGTTGTAGTTTTTACAGTTTATATTGCCGCCGGCAAAACGTCCCGTTCGGTTGGAAGAGAGCCGTTGATGGACTGATCATTCCGAATCCAACCTGTGCTGGAGCTGTCGAGGACCTCGGGAAATTCCAATGGACTGCTCTCCAATAGTGGCAACTGGCAACCGGCGGCGAACATTCGTTTCTCCTGAGCAACAGGAGGAGCATTATTCACTCCAATACCCTGTGAATAACCCAGCTACCCGGGATTTGTTAATCCACTACTCCGTAGGCAGGCCAGCTTGAAGAGTAGCCTTGGGAGATTGCGCCACGATGTATGAGTCAATAAAAGATGTCACTCGAGCGTCATATGGAGAGAGCTCTTGTTGCAGCCAGGCGGCGACATATCTGTGCGACCAACCCGTGGACAATGAAATGGAATCACAAGAGTAGCTAGTCAACTAGTTAGTTAATTAGTTAATGACAAAGACTCAGTAATGATCTTAATCTGTGTTATCCCTGGTTGACCTGACCTTGTAACTATTCGCTGTCACTCCGATAAGTACAGCAATTAGTATAACCACTCAGACAACCAATGTTTCGCGCGAGCAAAAGACACCGCTCTTGGAAAGACTAGCCAGGGAAGTATCGTGGGCGCCATGGATATTAATAATAGCAACAGTAGTTAATAGCTAGTCATCAAATCCACAGTCGATGTAACTATGTCGATGGATTTCAGGAGAGGACGGGGTGTGGCAACCATGACGGGGGCTGACGCAAGAGTTGTTCGACAGAGAGTGCGTTCTCCTGTTTGAAACCGACTCCAAGATGCAAGTGGAACTTAATCCCCGAATGACGGTCTCCATTTATCAATCTCCATATATTCCATTCCAGAACACTTCCCAAAAGCGAACAACCCATGGTCCACCAACCCAAAACACCGAGGTGCAGATCGAGGAAGCTCGGCGATTTTCATTCATCCAAAGAGCCAATGAAGCAAAACAAAGAATGTGTTACCCAGCTGCTCATTGATCTGGCAGAGCCCTCTCTCCCCTGCACTGCACACTGCCATCCAGCGATCAGGACGATGCTGGTCGGAGATGGTCAGCGACAAATCGGAGGTTTGCCGCATGGACGCCCCCGCTTCCTTGACCGCCTCTTATCGATAAGTCTATTACGCTCTGTCCTCTAACTATGTAGGTGTGAATCATGGACACTTTCCCGGGGCGTTTGGCGAATCGAACGAATGCTATTTTACCCTGTGGGGGTCCATGCTGTCAATTGAGCTATACGAGGCACTTGGGCCAAATGAGATCGAAACATGATGTGTTTCGCGGGATTGAGCTTGGGAGGAAAAATATTTACGCGGAATTCATCGATGCAGACTCGATGAGTAACATTTACTCCATAGGCACTATTATTATTATTATTATTATTATTATTATTATTATTATTATTATTATTATTATTATTATTATTATTATTATTATTATTATTTATTTATTTATTTATTTGTTTGTTTGTTTATTTATTGATTGATTGATTGATTTATTGATCTATTTGCTGATTTATTGTTGTTCGCCTTGAAAAGCCCCACGGAAACCCACATACAACTTTAAGCCCACTCGAGTGATTCCTGTCAGAATGATGATTTTCAGTATGTTGCATCCCAGTCAACTAATTTCCCCAGTCAGTTACTGGAATGTCTCTCCTCGACACGCCATTCAAACTGGCAAAACAGACTCCTAGAACGATCCAGATATCCTGACATGTTCCCCCGGCCTGTAGCCAACTCCGTGAAATATCCGGTGCTGGTTATAAATCAGTAATGTAAGAATACACCTTGGCCTCGGCGCATATTCGGGCCCCAGACATTCAGCGGTAAATTGTAATGTGTCAGTAGCTGTCCGCTGTCACAAGTACCATTCATTCTGTGGTAGATTGAGTCTGGTACTGGAGTTTAGTTCTCCGCCATCCATCCGTGATCTCATCCATTCCATCCATGGGCCCCAGTCGCTCCGCAGCTGGTTATGACTTCAGATATTAATTAGTTAAGCTCACCCCGAACCGCCATCAATCGCTAACTTAAACCTTAGGCCATTCCCCGACCTCTCCTCATCCCTCCTCATTATTGTTCATTGTCCAAGTGTCGGATAGAGACTGTGTCTACATCTTGTGCATTCCGAACATCAGTAATATCCGATCCATCTTCCTGTTGTGTCTGTATTTAACTCCCCGTTTCCCACTTGGCTGTGTGGTAGTTTACCAAGGTAGTTAATAACCACCAAACCCGCCTTTAAGTTGCCCCCATACAACCACCACAACCCGCCCACGAATCGTAACAACCGCCGCCGCCGCCTCCCCCCCCTCCTCTCTCCCCACACCCCTTTTTCCCTTCTCCCCCAAACCCAGAGAGTTGCAGCGCAATTCCATCCTATCCAATTCCCATTATCTCTCTAATGCCCCAGTTCCCCGAAACCCCCCCTCCCCTTCATTTTTCTCCTCCTTCCAGCGACCACGACCGATCCTCAACTCGCGAATCAACCCCTATTAGCACTCCCGTTGGCTTTGGCATCTCCAAATCCCGCACCGCTGAGCGGGATCCAGACTTGTATTTCTCCTGGCACCGGGAGGCCGCAGATAACGCTACCTCTTCCGCAGAACCCGAACCCGATCTTGAAGACGACTCTTTTCCGCTCTTATCTTCTTCCACCCCTTTCCGACCCCCCTTTAAAACAACATGGGAGGCCCCCCTCCCCCCTTAAATTTTCCCCCCAAATTTTTGTGTTTCCCCGGTCCCCCCGGGTTTGAATTTTAATTTGTTTTAAAAAGAGTTAAAGGGGGTAACAGTTTGGGTGTTTTTGGAATCCCCCCCTCCTATTCCCGGCGAAAAAAAACAAATTTTTTCCTAAGGGTTGATTGGCGCCAAATATGCCCCGGGGGGGAAATGCACAAAACCCTAAAACAGTTGTGGCTCCCCCCCGAGAAAAACACCCCCGGAGGATTTTCCCCCCCATTTTTTGGGGCGCAATACCTGGGGGGGGGTTTCGGTTGGCAGTTGGATTCGAAAAGAGTATGTTTCTTGCCAATATTTTAAAAAAAAAAAAAAAAAAAAATTAAACTTTTTTCCTGGTTTTTTCTTTCCCCCCCCCCCCCCCCCCCCCCCTTTTTTACCTTGAAGTATTGCTACCGCCGTTCACCCACGGTTCCTATATCTTTTGAAGAAATGGCAGATCCACCGATTTACAGGATGGATGCCCATGATTTCCCCATCTTCTGCTGTTTAATTGCTGTTAAAAAGAGTCCACTGATTAATAGCCCTGCTACAGTATTCTCATGACCGGAACTTCTCCCTTCACGTTTCAGTCTCCTTCATACCATTCTTCGTCTTACCTCCCAAAACTGGAAGCAAACTTCATGCGAGATTTCTCATGCTGTGGTGTCACACTACCGTCTCTTCACGACTTGTTGCAGCATTATGAGGAAGCCCATGCTCAGAAAACTCCGCAACCACCGCAACGCTCTGGACAGGGAGGACAAATGTCCATGACAGATAACCGATCCGGCGTGCCTGGAAGCGTTCGAAATCAAACACCCCAAAATCAGCAATCAGCTACTAGTACTAATCAAAATCGAGGCATTTCGTCGCCAAGGCCGAATCAGAGTCAGCAACCGTCGAACCACTTGGCGTCCCCGTCTCCACAACATCCTCAGACGCAGCATGGCGGCTTCATATCTTCTCCAAACGGCCTTCCCGATCTTGATACAGTCGACGATATGGATATGGATATGGAAATGGAGGACCCCTTGGCAGATAGCGCTTTTCAAGACTCCCAACTACGAACCACTATACAAGGTAGATTTGGACAGCAGAATCAAGGACGCCTAACGCCACTCAACATTGGTATGCTTCAAGGGCACCAGGGGCTCCGGAGTTCACAGCCAGGCACGCCCGTCACACCTGGGCGTCCTCTCCAAAATAATCCAACCGTATCCTCAGTCAATACCCCGACCCTCGTCACCCACCAGCTACAACAGCAACAGCAAAATTCTGAATACCGCGAAACTCCGGATTCCTCTACTCCAAGAACCCCCGCTGAATTCGAAGAGTCGATTATCGGAGAGTTTGGAGACATATCAATGCAAGGCCAAGCTCAATTTTCCGGATATGGAGGAAACGATATGTTGAATCTCTGTATCGACGAGCCAGCTAAACGATTATTCAGCCCAACTGGTGGGTTCAATAAGCAACAGAATATGCTCAACAGGCTAGGGAACCAACCATACGGACCCAATAGCCAAATTGCCCAACGGATTCGAGAACAACAAATGCGTGCGGGCGTACCAGACACCACCCTTGGGATGATGCCCAATGAAGAACCCAAACCATTCAGATGTCCCGTTATAGGATGCGAGAAAGCATATAAGAACCAGAATGGCCTGAAATACCACAAGGCGGTCAGTGTACAAACCCCAGAAATAACACAGTCCTTTTTGTTATTTCCATTTTCTAACCATAAATTGTGGTTCCCCCCCTCTGGAAATATAGCACGGTCATAATAACCAACAGCTCCACGACAACGCGGACGGTACCTTCTCAATCGTCAATCCTGAAACATGCACTCCTTACCCAGGAACCCTAGGCATGGAAAAGGAAAAGCCGTTCCGCTGCGAAGTATGCGGTAAACGATACAAGAATCTTAACGGCCTAAAGTACCACAGATCGCACTCACCGCCCTGCAACCCAGAACTCCAACTCGCGGCGGGTCGAAACCTTGGCGTGGGTGGAGTGATGCAAGGGCAAAATATTAACGTCGCCGGAGCTGGCCTCCCTGGTATTGGCGAGGAGGGCCTTTGATGTTAATGCAAAACCGTTCCCCCCCCCCAAAAAAAAAAATTAAAAAATAAAAAATAAAACATAAAAAAAAGCCAAACAAAAAGCGGAAATCAAAAGGTAAAAAGTCCTTACCTCTACCCTTCCACCGACTCGTCGGGGAGGGGCGTGGTCTCTTTTCTTTAGTGTCTTTGATGACAAAAAAGAAGTACATTTTATTTTTTATTTTATTTTATTTTATATTTACTCTACTTCTCTTCATCCCATCGTTTTTCTTTGCCTTGGGCTTAATTCTCACGCCACCGACTTTATTCTTGGTTGACGTCTCTCACTTTTTGGGTACCATTTGCATTTCGAACAAGGGGCCATCTATTTGCTATCCTATATTCCCTTACGGCCAACAAAAAGCCTACAGCCAGCTTTTTTTTTCATCCCTTTTTTGCATCCTTTTTTTGGTTCCTGTGTCTATTTTCTATATTGTTTTGGTGTTTATTCTATTGTCCCTCTATGTTTTCCATGGCCTCTTCACTCATCGATTCTATTTTATCCCCCCAAACTTATACATAAGTTCATACCTTACATACCTTCTTTTTATTTTTATTTTTATTTTTATTTTTATTTTTTGTATTCAAGTGGCAGTCTTCCAACGGTTTTCATGGTCAGCTATAGGCAAATAGACGTGTATTCTTCCTCATCTTTTCGCTTCAACCAGCTTCTTCTGTTTTGGTTATTTTTCTAAAATAAAAAAATTGCCTTCTAGTTTATCTTATGCTCGAGTATAATTATTATCAAAAGTATTCGGTTTATCTCTTATATGTTTCTTTTTCTTGGCTGGTGTATCTCGCAGCTCGTCAAAAGCGGATCTTGTACTTTCCCCCTTGGCTTTTTGGCTGCATGTGTTTTGTTTCTAGGATTAGTGTTTTTGACTGCCTTCCATCTTCGATAACTAATGTTGCCACTTTTTTGTTCTGTGGTTTCTCCTGTCTGATCAAGTTGTTTTCCATTGATTGCCTTGGGTATATATGACACGATTATGTATCATCGCGTATCAATTAAGTTGCTCTGTCTACAACTTTCTTTGTTCCCGCTTTGCCCCCCAAGCGCCACGGTTGGCCTCGAGAGAAGCAAAAAAAACCGGAAGAAAGCAAGCAAGGCTGAAAAGTAACAATCGGTCGCAGCACGTAGCATGTTGCAAGGGAAACCCAAGTGGAACGAACGGCTGGACTGATCGAGAGAACTTATCCATCCTCATAGGGTGCACACTGGGGGCTAGCCATCTAGTTCCCGTCCCCGTGGCTGCTTTCGGTTGGATACAGTTAGTTTAGCTTTGGAGGCCGCTCGAGGCTTATGTATAAACAAACCCCCGCCACAATGGAGGTTGGTTTGACTAACTAGTAGTTAGGCTACTGGCGATTGGGGCCCCTGTTGCCAGGCTATTCCAACAGTATTAAGACACATAGCTCTTGATTTTCAACCCTGCCCGAAACCTAGTTTAGAGTAGTTATCATATTCAATTGTCAATTTCGACTCCGATTCCAATCACAGGGTTTTATTTATTTAAAAGGAGAAAATATCAAAAAAAAAAAAAAAAAAAAGAGAAAGAAATCAAATTCATATTACAGTTTCAAGCTCACTTCCTATTATATTCGTCTTGTTCATTTTATTTCAATCCTCCCTTGCGCAGGTGCAAAATGGAGATTGTGGACATCCTAGCAGTAGGAAAGAAAAGGATCATAGTAAAATTAAACAAGAATACAACATGGTATGAGAAAATGGAAGAAGAGAGATTGAAAAATAAAGATAAATTTATTGGGGAAGGAGGGGAAGACGGGAACTTAAGAAAAGAAGAGGTCGGCTTAAGATAACACCCATGAAGTTCAAATTTCACCACGGCTTGTGAGAAAAAAAATTATCATGGCAGCAGAGTGATTTTATCCTTGTTCTCAGGTTTAAAAACAACTTAAAATCGACGATGTTTTGTTTGAGTTTAAAACGCATGCCAAATGGCATGGATGAGACGCAGAGATCGGTAGGAGATACGGGAAAAGCAACGCTGCAAAACATGCTCTCTAATCAAAAAGCGAAATAAGAAGCGTAGCCAATGAGATCATTGTGCTTCAAAGATCCAGAATTATGGATTGGAAGATGGTTTGAAGAAGAAGGGGGAAAAATGGAGAGAAAAAAAGAGGTAGAACAGTTCAAGGGCTCATATGGCAATTCATCAGGGCAACATGGAAAATTGAACAGCAGGCAAAAGTACAGAAACAAGAACTGGAATGTCAAAAATACATAGTTGAGGGAAATCAGATAATGCATGATGTGTGGCTTCATAGCTTTCGAAGTAATCATTTGTATGGATGAATATAATTATTGATTGGTATTGGATGGATGGATTGTTTCTTTGGCGAGTGTGTCTCCTTAAGACGATAAGGAAATGGGTATGTTGGTAGATAGCGGGTATTCTGATGATGGAGGGAGTCAAAGAGTTTGCAGGGCGCATGCCACAAATCCTCAAGAGATGACATTAACAGGAGTGGAAGGTCTAGTCTAATACCACTCAAACTCGCCGTTGCCCTTATGAAAGACATACCTTCAAAAGACATCAATATTAGCCACACCAGATAGATGGAAGCAAGAAAATGGCTAAAAGAGAATTGATTTAAATAGTTAATAGTTAAACTTACTCTTTCCCGCCAGACGTCAGAATCCCGTCCTTCAGCGTGCACTTCCATTTACTCTTGACGCGCTGAACCTTATCATATGTGCACAACATGACTTGTCCAACTGCATCATCGCCATCATTGGAGTCATCAAGCAGGTCGTCCGGGTCATCTAGATCGGAGTTGATGGCGTCCTCATCCTCCTCGCCCCGCGCATTGCCATTATAGCCACCCACCCCGTCATAGGGAGCTGGACCAGAGGCTGTGGTGGTAACTGTGGGGTTGGCGGATGGAGAGGCAGAAGCGGGAACCAATCCCTCAGAGGCACCAGAGGGGTTAGTCATGAGATGAGCCTTTCGTTTTGTGCCCTTAGCAAAGCTTGGCTGTTCGCTCAGGGGTGCTAGAAGACCACCGGCTTCAAGCTGTAGTCCCCGGGATTCTACGTAGGAACGGAGATAGTCGTCAACTTGACCCTTGCCCTTTTCTGCAGCTTCCCTCCTGCGGGAAACTTCGGCTTTCCATTCATCTAATGAATCACCAGCGCCGTCAGTTTGTGAATTGTTCACTAGGGGTCTCTGCTGCTGCTGCTGTTGGTGTGGGTGTTGGTGATGTTGCTGTGGTGGTAGCTGTTGTTGCTGCTGAGCGAGGTTCTGATATTGTTGAGGTTGTTGAACTGGCTTTTGATCCTGGGCAAAAGAACCTGGCACACCGGGGAGTTTCTGTGCTCCCGGAAGTGACAACGCAGCAGCTTGCGACTGTGTTTGTAGCTGATGGACTTGGTTAGCGGCCGCTGCTCCATATCTCTGATGCAACGCATTTGCAGCACGCTGCTGTGCGAGAGTTGATGGGTTCACCGGAGGCAAGCCTGAGGGGGTAGGTTGATACCCCGATTCTGTTTTGACACCAACATCGGTGACTGAGGATTCAGCTGTTGAAGAAGGGACTTGTAAGGGGAGCTGTTGCTGCTGCTGTTGATGTTGATGCTGCTGCTGCTGCTGGTGCTGGGGTTGCTGCTGGGGTTGTTGGGAAAATTGATTGGGTTGAGGGGGTGGGGTCGCGGTGATAGGGTCATTGGAGGGGACCGTGACAGGGGCAGCAGGAATAGGGGTCTGTGGTTGTTGTGGATGCTGAGGTTGCGCCGGTTGTTGAGGGGTAGGTGGGGCAGGCTGGGGAGCAGGATCCCAGGGAAAGTGGGCAACCCCAAGTGAGGACAGTTTCTTCCGCCATCCCTGGGGGGCATAACCTATATTAGCATCAAGCAGATGATTGGAAGCAATTAAACGAACGAACTAAAAATTCGCCACACAAAGTCCGGTCTGCAAACATCAAACGTTGTACTCGGTCCTCGTAGCACCATGGGGGCCGTATTCTGCGGGCCCGTGGGAAAAGTAAAGGCGGTAACGGAGCACAAGGCGGGAACGGCGGATGCTTAGTCATGGCGCAAGGATATTGCCGAGACGCGAGTCGCACAGCCAAGCGAGCAGCCAGCAAGGGCGAACCCCGAGTGGCTCAGCGCGACCCAGAGTAACACAGAGTCACCCCGAGCTAACCCAGAGTAACCTCGAGTTAACCCAGCAACCCGGCCCAGCGACCCAGAGTGGCCCAGAGTGACCCCAGCATAAAAGCTGGCCTGGATTCCCTTTAAGCAGTCCTTTATCCCACCCGCCGCCGCCGCCCCCAACAAGCAAAAAAACCCCGCGCCTCGGTTGCCACTCTGGGAATCTCACTCGAAGCGGCGCACCCCAACAACAACAACAACAACGCAAATATATCATCGCCCGTCCCGCTACCATCTCCTTGGCTTGCTGAGGAATAGCAGCAGAAGGGGAAAATAAATAAAGTCTGCTAACCTTTCTTAAATCTTCCAGTGTCTGCTGGTCCACACCGCCCTCTTCAAAGTCAATCTGGGACAAGTCGCATACTTCCTGAATCACCCGATCAAACACGACGCCCTATTATCGATAAGACAGATACGTGAGCCCAGAATTCGCTCCGGATCGATATATATGATATAGTGGAGGGGAGTTGGGATGGATATTCAGCACCAACAACGCCCCGCCTAACTTACCACTTGCTGGTTTGACATCTTGCGATAGAGAGGATGGCGAAGGTGAAAAAGAACGGGAAAGAAAAAGAAAAAGGGAGAAAAAAAAAAGAAAGAGGAAACGAAATTTAAAAAGAAAAAAACCCGAATACGGATCAAAAATTGATACTGCTTAAAGGATGGGTTCAGCTGAGGTAGGGCAACGTCCTCTGGCGCAAGAGGGTTGTGCCTATGGTTTTTGGTTTTTTGTGTTGTTGGAATGATGCCACCTAGCAGAGCTTCAGCTCAGCTCCCATGCGCCGTTGGAGAACTGACCGATTCGACTGAAACCTGCCACTACCTATATCCACGACGCTTTTGTAAAACCGAACACAGTAAATATCCCTTTGACTTTTTAGACCTGCTGTACAAATTCTATTGGGTAATTTTGAGTGTTCTGGGTGCTGTAGACCCTGTTGTCGCGGATTTTCTCAGATGGCTGGCTGCTGGGGTCGGATGGGTGAAGAAGGGAGAAATTGTATTTATAGTGGAAATTCTATCACCTACCGCCCGATTAGTCAGCACACCTAGACTCTGCCATCCATGGAATGCCTTCACTTGGTTCAAGGATGGTATTTATTATTCCAACAACATCTTGCAACTGACAAATCCCATGTGCCACTTCTACAATTGCCTTTTTTACGTTCTCGTCATCCATCATCCATTGATTCAATTTTGCAGAAGATCTTGGTGCTTCCAGTTTCTGCAGTGCCCCGGGGTTAGTTAGTGGAATGCCTCTTCTCAGTAGATTCATACAGAGGACACGATCTTCATGCGCTGTCAATAAGCCAGAAGAAAAGCATTTTGTTGTTCTCTTGATGTCTATGGTGCTCTATACATGCTGATTGACTGATACCTAGTGTACCTTTAAAAGAACACCGAAAGGCAGGTCGAAGAACATTTTTCCGAAAGCGAAGCAACGTGATCCGGAAGGGCTCTAGAGGTAACAAACAAACTGCATTGATAAACTTGGAACAATCAACAAGAAGCTAGAATAAAGAGAGGAACTCAAAAGCCCAAATCGAAAACTAGTTATACCAATCTGGTGGAAGAAAGAAGCACAAGGGAGAAGAACGCCCTGCTCAGAACGCTGAGTCCACGCTCTTGACCCCTGGTCCCACGGCCAAGCAGAAGCAGAGCAGCTGAGAATGAAAAACGTGAAAAACGCCCTGCGCATTGCAATACTGATAACCTGAGTGATGCAGAACGACTCGAGTAGACAAAACACGTCCCATCAGAAATGACACATTAATATCGATTACCGAATGGTCATCTGCTTAGCCATCTGGCTACCTTTGGATCCAACAGCTCCCTCCCGTGATGCGGCAGCAACGGTGCCTGCCTTGCGCTCGAAAATCTTCCAGAATTTCAGACTTTCGTCGGCAGCTAGGAAATAGGAAAGTGTCAGCACGCAGAAAGGAGGAGGGGGGGGGGGGGAAAGGGGGTGACTTTAGGGTACTTGGGGATTAAGACATACCAGCAGTGGCCAGCATCTGACCGTCAGGACTGAGGCAGCTGTGGAGCACACGGGTTTCGTGTGCGGGAATTTCAACATTGCGGACAAGGGATGGGTAGCTCCAGATGCTCAGGGAGTTATCTGGGAATCCACTGGAGCTGACGAGCTCGCGGTAGTGGTTGCTCCACCGCAGGCTGGTAACTTGGGAGCCGGTGTCGATGCTGTTGGTACGTGCGCCAGTGGTGGTGTTCCAGAAGTGGATGTGGCGATCGTAGGATCCTCCTCCACTGGCGAGGAGGTTCAATTGCCATGGGCACCAGCTGAGAGCCTTGACAGCAGCACGGTGGTTGGTCTTGGTGAACTTGGGAGCGCTGAGAGATCGGGAGTCCCAGATGGAAACGAGGTTATCATTGCCACCGGTCGCCAGTTGGGCACCGTCGGAGCGCCATTCGAGACCACAGACTTCAGAGGTGTGAGAGACAAGCTCAGCGGTCTTGTGCTGGGCGATGCGAACGTCGTGGTTGAAAACGAGACCACTTCTTGCACCAGTGGACAGAATATGCTTGGACCACCCCATAACTCCAACACGGGTTTCATGGCCGAACATGCTCCGCAACTTGGTTCCCTCTTCAACATCCCAAATCTGGACCTCACCGGAACCGAGGCCAACGCCAACGTAGGCTCCATCACCACTCCATTTCACGCTGCTTACATAAGTGTCGGGTGAGGTTTCGAGCAGGCAGTCGACAGAGCCACTTTCCGCAGACCAGACGTAGACATTGCGCTCGAGGCCAATCGCAACCTGGTTACCCGAACTCCAATCCAAAAGATTAAGGTAATAGTCATCTACAAGGCCGGGGGCATCTAGAACACGCTCTGGGGCGGTCTGTACTCGTCGTCGGAACTGGGCGGATTGAGCGTTGGCCGGCTTGAGGGGCCGGTTGTATTGGGAGCGGAGATCAATGGGTTTAGATGATTCTGGTGGAGGGGGCTTGAACGAGAGAATGCGAGTGTTCAAGGAAATGTCACAGGCGGACGCAAGGGTTGACTTGTATGCAACAGCATCTGGCGCTGGGCGAGTGTAAGAAGTCGTGTTGTCGTTGTCTTCGAGGCCAAGATTCTCTAGTGCGCTCGCGATATCGTCATCGCCGCTGCGGCTTCCGATATTAAAGGCACTAGCGGCATTAGCTAGTACTGTGGATCCTTCACTAGACTTGGGGCGTTGGTGTTCATCAGGCTTGGCGGCCCCCGCGGTAGCAAGGCCTTCACTGGTAGTCCGGTTTGGAATGAAGCGGTCCGCAGTATTGTGAGGAAGTCGAATGGTTGTCTTCGTGGTTCTTGAAGACCGAATTTCCCTCTTCTTTGATGGTGTCTGTCCAGTGGCTGGACCAGTCCCGGTCAAGGACCAATCAGAAACCCCCAATTCCAGGTGACGGGGAGAGTTTCTGCCTTTGGCAATGTTGGATTTGGGGGAATCTCGGTGCGTCCCTCTTGATACTGTTCTTGATACAGATTTGGCGAAGTGTGAAGAAAGGTTACCACCATAAATCGACTGAGAAGCCACGCGCGGGATCTCTGAGGATTGCTTTGGTGGGGTGAAGGGAGAGGATTTGTTCGACACGTTCGTCGCCAAACTGACCGTTCTGGACCTAGGCGACGGTGTCAGGGGCATGCGGCCACCAGCTGTCTTGGAGGAGAAGAGACCATGATGGGTCTTCAATGGTGTTGATACGGAAGCCGTTGCCATTGTAAGTAAATGCGAATGACTTTTGTTGAAACGAAAGCAAATAGACAATACAATGAGTCAATCCAAAGTTACGACCAGAATCTTCGTGGCTGTTGATGTTTGGAAATGAAAAAAAGAGAAAAAAGAAGAAGAAGAAGAAAAAATCTAGACGTTGCAGAGAAGTATATGCTCAACAAGGGGTAATCAGGTCCGAAATAGAGGATGATCTAATAAACTTGGAATAGCTATGCTCAACAAAGATACAAGGTACTGGATGCGATAGATGCAGGGGATAGAGAAGTAGAGGATGCAAAGGTAAGTGTATAGGTTTTGGGAGAGGGAGAGGGTGAAAAGGAGGTGATGTTGAATGGAAGAAGAATTGAAGCACGATGTTGCTCCCGCTGCAAATAAATATTTACACCCCCCTTAGCGCCATTTGATCTCTACAGCAACGGCCGCTGAGATACACTATACTATATTTGGGTTAGCGTCTTGTAGCTATTGTGCCAGTGCCAAGGCTTTAGTCTAAGTTTTGCCAAGCCTTCCCTTTTTGGAAATAGCATTGGAATCATCTGCTCATCACTGCAGAGCCGCAACCGCCAACCACTTCCTCTTAACTGGACGACTTCACTACGTCTTGGCCTCCAACGTCTCAAATTACCCATATCGTGCGATGGGAATGTCGTCGCAGAACCGTATGGCACTTTTGGAATCAGCTTGACTGCGTAACTCTTCTTCGTCAAGCTCCTGCGTTTTAACTTTCTGCCCCTGATGGCTCACGAACATTTAACACCGGCTGCTGGAGCTGCAAGTGGATCCTATTCGTCACAGCATGGAGGTAATGGTGGTGGTGGTGGTGGTGGTGGTGGTGGTGGCAGCAGCTGGGGTGGCTCTTCTACATTAACCTCCTCTAACTTAACGCCAGTCTCGTCGCTGTTGTCGTCCTCGGCGGCACAAGCTACCAACTCCTATCTTATGCCCACTAGCCATCCTACGGCCCGCCGTGGTAGTGGTGATAGCTATCGTCCTGCAGTGAAGAAGTCCAACGGACAACTCCCTGCCTGTCTGGTAAATGCTTCGGTAACCTACTGTGGAAACAACCAAATTTATGCATTTGGAGGCTTCGATCAGTACACAGATGAAGGTCAGAGAGAGCTTCTGAAGTCTACAAACTCCTTTCGGAAGCGTTACTGATTTTAACCTATCCAGTTTACAATCATGTCCTCCGGCTGGATCTTACGGCCCTCAAGTGGACCTTAGTCGATAATTATGGCGACATACCTGGTGTTCGGATGGGTTTGTTGTCTCTTTTTAAATTTTATGGTTCATTGCTATCCAAGCTGACGAGATACATGTACAGGCCATACAGCGTCTCTGTACCAAGGCAATAAACTTATTGTGTTTGGCGGCGAGAATGAACACCATGAGTATCTCTCTGATGTGGTTATTCTCGATATTGCCACATCCACGTGGGCATCCCCCGACATTCGAGGACCAATCCCTCGCGGAAGAGCTCGACATGCCTCGGTGGTTTACGAGGATAAACTTTTTGTTGTTGGAGGAATAACTGGTGAAACCAATTTTATTCTCGACGATATATGCTATCTCGACTTGAAAACCTGGACTTGGTCCCGTTCGTGGAGCTTTGTTGCTCGATTCGACCACACCGCGTGGATCTGGGGAGGCCGCCTTTGGGTTTTCGGGGGCCTTGGTTCGGACATGGAGCGAGGCACCGATCTTTGGTGGTTGGACTTGAAAGGCTGCCCGTCTTTCGGCATGTCATCCTCTCAAGGTACCGTCGAATCCCTAGGAACGCTCGATAGAATGACTGACAGCCCAGGAGCCCAATATAGTCCTGCCACCGTGCAAGGACGTCCCAGCGGCTATGCTGCCAATTCAGCTAGCGTGCAAGTAAGAGCCTTCAACCGCCGAAAACTCACTGCTCCCGGGGCGATTTCTTCTCTCAAGTTCCGCTCTGGTCCCCATGTACCAACGCTTCTTTCCGGAACCCACTTCCATGTTTATTCCTCTGGCGTTCTTCTTGACCTAGTCACCCCGTCCGAGACCGTTCGACCTTGGGATTGCAATCTGGCGTCTTTGGAGCTCGATTCGCTAAGGTGGCAGCGTCTGGCAGATGGACCGGAGATCTTCAAATCAGGATACCGCTGGCATTATTGTACTCTTAACGAGGACGGTACGAAAGCTTGGCTACTGGGATGTAGCCTCGATGTGACAAATGGAACTGGTATTGGTGACGAAAATCGTTTGAACCAAGTGCTTCCCATTGATCTTGAGCGGTATGGTCTGCTAGGGAATGACCTTGCGTTTGAGAATTCAGAGCACGCTAGAATACTTGCGCCGGAGCGACAGGAATCTCCCCGCTGCACAGGGCTTGGCGCTGACCTAATTGCTGTATTCGACCAACCTCCCGAAAATGGTAGCGGAACTGACTTTATCATTACCGCTGAGCGCGATGACCTTAATTACTCAGAATCTAGTGATTCATCAACCGTGTTGCCCTCTTCCCAAAATGAAGCCATCTTTGTTCCAAACAGCGCCTGCACCTCTCAGCCAATCCATGTCCACAGGATCATCCTACAAGCCCGGTGGCCGCACTTTAAACGTCTATATTCTGCTCAAATGGCAGAATATCATACAAAAAGAATGCACATCCCTGAGCCATATTCTTTCGTCCGAGCATTCCTTTACTACCTATACACTGACAGCATCGCGGGCCATCCAGAGTACTGCTCTGATATCATTGAAGTGGCTGGTATGCTGGTAATGGCTAACCTCTACGACATGCCTAAACTCCGGCTATTGTGCGTTAATCGACTCAGTCGGGAGCTGGACGTCAATAATGCTGCAATTATCTGGGATCGTGCTGGAAGGACGAATGAGGAATGGCTGAAGCGTCGTGCTGCCTCGTTCTGCCTTGCGAACTGGGGTCGCATTGTCAGAACTGAGGGATTCCGCAGTCTAAGCAGGCAGAGCTTGATGGAGCTATGCGAAGTAGTGGATATGGAGGGGCGAGTGATTCCTGGACATGAACTTGAGTTAGCTGGCGAGTTGGATGTGCTTGGTTCAGGGAGGGATAATAAACGAAGTCGTGTTGTGGTTGGTAGTACGCCTGGCCCCGGGATGGATGACCTTGAGGATGGCGATGGAGATGAAGATGATGGCATGGAGCTGTCGTGAATACTGAGGACGGAAAAATTTAGAATATAACCTACGAGTCAACGATGGATGCCAGTGCATGTATTGTATTATTACTTTTGTGCTTAATGCTGAACCTTGACGACTGCATGCATATGGGGTGCGGGGAAGTGGGGACTGGTTTCATGTGCTTTCTCCTATTTTGATTCATGGGCCCTTTCTTTTTTCCTTTCCTTTCTTTTTTAATGCATTCACAACATATTTGTTTGCTTAGTACTGCACCCGCATAGATTACAACGGAGGAGGTAGATATCCTTCTTATTACGATAGTTAACGCCCCTCTAATCACATTTCTAGCGATTGGATCTGTCTTTATTATTTAGTCTTGCCCTTTCCCGTAGATTTTTGTAATCGACCGACCAACCAGCCACCAGGACTGACTGACAGAACCTTTACGGACCGTCCCTCATCCCTATTAGTCACTACGGTCAGTACTCCACAAAAAATGGTAAGCGACAAATGCATTGGGAAAACTTAGGTTATTCACCTGGGACAACGGAAATAAAGGACCGCTTGTGCAATTCGAGTGTTTCAGAGACCACTATCCCTTTCTCCCTGAATGGTAAGGACATTGCATGTAGTTATGAATATGACTTATATTGTTACAGTTCTAAGAGATACTGAGCAGAAAGAAATTATGTTATATTCAGTTCTTACTCCATATACTGGAGTGCTCATTCGAAAACAGAAATTCGGGAATCTGGTTGGCCGGCGACATCTACACAGTCGGAACTTGAATCCAGCAATCAATCAGTCATTGCGGAGAAATGTACGTTCAATCTAGTGAGTGAACGAGTTTCTCCGGGAATGGAGGGCTCTTACCTTGACTAGGATACTACTTTTCATATACCTCACGGGTGTGAGCCGTCCGAAACTGGATAAATTGTTTATAACGTCAGTTATATATTCGGCTTATCCCCGATATATAAATTTCGTAATTCTCAGGTCCATTGCTGGGTGTCTTTGTCGAACCCGATGATATCCAGCTCAACATTCAAACTTTTGAGCATCATATCCATCGTAAAGCTCTGAGAGGAAAATATTAATCGTTAGATATACCAAATGGAGAAAATTGAAGAAGATGGAACAAGGTTTAAAGGAAGAATCAGCAGACCTCATCCTCGTCCTCTAATTCATTATTCCCACCACCTACATTTTCACTATCCGTTTCCATTTCCGCCTTTTTCCTTTCCACCTCCTCATCCCATTCACTCTCCAAATCCTCCCTATCTCCAACAGCACGAACATCCTCATCCCATCTCGCCCTCTTCTCCTGTGCCTGCCTCATCCTCTCCTTCCACCCTTTAACGCCGCCCATCCTCTCCACCCTCTTCTCAGCACTGACAAACAACTCTTCCGCCGCCTCTCGGCTCGCTGCTTTCCACTTGGCAATCAGCACTTCAAGCTCCGCGTCTTGTCCTGACTGTTCAACTTTCAGCGCTTGGTTGACTGAATCGAGTTCTGCGCGCAGGGTTATAAGACGACTTGTCAGGGCAGAGTGTTTCCTTTGGAGGGTGATGAGCTCTAATGGCACACTTGGTGATGATGGTGACGCTGTTGGCGGCGGAGCTGGTGGGATTGTGGTAGGTTTCTTTATAACTTCGGATTGGGTACGGGAAGAGAGCTTGTCGGATGTATCGGGAGAATTGGGAGCATCAGTTGCAGCTTTCGGATCTGACTCCGTGTCTTTCTTTCCGCTATTGTCTGTGGATGTGCTTTCAAGTTGTTTGCGGAGAGGTGATTTAAAAGGTTTGAAGAGTGTAGACGTAGCTTGGTCGATTCGACGGCGTTTGGCAGCTTGGTAGGACATTCTTGACGTGAAGGAGTTAACGAGCACGTAACTTGTAATGAGTATCAGCTACAGACGCAAGCTTCTACACGTTGTATATCTGTAATAAATACGCGGAATGCTGTAGCTACTTCAATGCAGTAATTGGGAATGTGTCAACTGCCTCATATCGATCTGATAAGATAGAACTTCTGCCACACGTGATACTATGACATCACCTGGAACGGCACAAACCAACCAACCGTGGAGCAACAGCAACAAACAAGACTCTGCCCTGAACTTCTGAAATACGGCGAGTTAAAACATTATTCACAAGAATACATTTCAATAAGAAAATGCTCTTTTTTATCCGAGTTCCTGCCCATTGTATAAATCGAATCAAATACAAAAAAACAAACCAAGGGCCATTTAGTTAGTGGCCGACCCCACCAGCAACCCAAGCAGCGAACTCGGGATCGTCAGGCTGGGGGAAAAGCCCTCTATCCTCTTGCCTTTGTTGTCTATCGACGGCACCTTCAGTCCCCGCAGGGTTATTAGCTGGTTGCCCTGTTCCAATCCCTGCCGGAGCTCTGCCATTGGCAGCATTCTGGTTCTCCTGACGTCCACGTCGTAGGGCTCGCTGCTGCCGCACATACACGAGGATAACCAATATCACTGCTAACAAAAGGATAACGAAGCCATCAAAGAATTCGTCGTCAAAATCAATATCATACTCGTTGTAGAAATTCTTATCTTGGTCACTGATGACTTTTTCGTCCATGGCATCTGTCCCGGTTCCATCTTCGGAAAAGACGCCATCCGGATTATCAGGATTGGATTGACGTTTCGGTTTGTGTTTGTGTTTGTGGTAATCCTCGTTTTCCTCTTCGTCATAGGTGATGAAAGCTGTAATCCATTCCTTAAATGATCGGTGGGGTTTCGCATCTAGATGGTGCAGAAGGAAACTTGTCAATGGAACATGGACAAGGAACTCGACTCCAAGGATGCCCGGATAGGTAGGATGAACTAGAGTCGAAAAGCAATCAGCTACAACTCACCTGGTTCTGTTCGGATGGGATTGGCATTTCCGTGCGTTATTTTATTCCAGAAACTCCGTATTCGCAACTTGATTAGACTGAGCTTAACGGGTAGATAAGCTTCATAATTGGTTTCAAGAGCCAGATCGTAGAATCTTTTCGCCATATGGAAATCTTGTTCCGTAGCATAGCCGTTTTCATGCATCCAACCCAGATTCCAGAACGCCTGGGCACTGTGATACCCCTCCGCAGCTGAATGGTAGCAGGTAAAGGCCTTGTCAAGGTCAGGCGGCGTCCCGTAGCCATAGAAATAGTAATCTCCCATCTTTACAAGAGAGTCAGTGTTCGCTTGCCTTCCAGAACGAGTCCAGTATATAAGAGCTAAAGCAGCATTCCGGAGCAAAGATGGCCGGCGACTCCTGGACCGGGGCAATATTGAATCAAGTGGAAGAACAGAACGTTGCTCGTCCAGCAGGTACGCTACGTTTGCCTGAGCATTCTCATAGCCCTGCTCTGCTGCCATCATTGAAGCAACCAAGGCAGTCTCCTTGTCGCCATTTTCATATGCGGTATTAGCCTCATGGAATGAGGAATGTATGGCCTCGACCTTTTCAGCCACCATCTTATAGTAAGCTGTCGCCACGCCACAATGACGCTCCTTTCCTATCCCTTTTTCGGCAATTTCCGCAAGATAATAGAATGCTTCGATCCAACCGTATCGAGCCGCTAACTCAAAATATCGTGTCGCCGTGGCCACATCGCCCTGGTCAAGGAATAGAGCACCAAGCCTGGTTTCAGATGCTGGAAAGTCCTGTTCTGATGCCGCCTTGAAATAAGCCGCAGCTTTCAACCCGTCTTTGGGGACTCCATATCCATTCAAATACATCAAGCCCATGTAGTGTTGGCACATGGGGTCCCCAAGAGGTATTCCTCGCTGAAACCAGGTTAACGCTTTTTCAAAATTCTGCTCAGTGCCCTCCCCACGCAGGAACATGAGTCCAATGTGTGCGGCCGCTTTTGCAGCAGTCTTCTCAATCCCTACTGGGTGGCTGGAGATGATTTTGCCGTCCTTCGTCCAGTATTTTTTTGCGACAAGCCCAAAATATCGCATTGCTCTCCGTACATTTCTCTTCAGATTCTTCGAACCCTCGTAATACATCTTACCCAGGCTAAATGTGGCCTTTACATCGCCTTTCTTCGACAAGAGATCTAAATATTCGAGCACATCTTCAAGGCTTGCATCGGAACCTGAGTTCTGGCCATCCCTATTCGCATTTGCACCGGAGCTTGAGACGCTTGCGCCTTCGCCATATACCCCACCTTCGTCATCAGCCCAGTTATAAGACTCTCTAATGAGCATTTGGCCTCCAGGTGGGCCTGACCTGTAGTAGGCCATTGCCTGGTCTGCTACTTGTTTGTAATAAAGCGCTGCTTGGTCGCAATCACGAGGTGCTCCGATACCAAGGTACCGGCGAAATGCCACGGTCATTTGAGATCTAATGTTTCCTCCCATAGCTGCGAATGTATGATAGAGCAAAGCCTGGCCTTGATGCCGTTCGACTGCCCCTCCTATCCCAGTGGCATACATAAACCCAACCATATATTGTGCACTGCTATTGCCTTCCAGCGTTGCGAGTGTTTTATATAGTTCGAATGCTCGGGTATAGTTCCGTGGATGGGTAAAATTTCCATAAAAATTCATTTCCGCCAGAAGAAATATTGCATCTGGGTGGTCTTGGTTTACTGCATCTTGAAGGAGCAACACTGCCTCTTCGAGTTCGGGGGATAGTTTATCGGTCCCTCTGGTAGAGTGTCCGTCGACAGTTATGTGGGGGCGGTTCATGAATAATAAGTAAAATGCCTCTCTCGCATAATATTTCGTATATCCAAGGAAGCCGGAAGGCCGGTCATGTCGATTGGCAGGGACGTTCACAGAGCGGAGGATGTTCAATGCTGCTTCAACAGATGGTTGACCTGAAAACCAGAAGTAAAGCGAAACCGTTATTTAACTTCCTTCTCTCTTCTCCCATGTCCTCTCGTTTTTAAAAACTCACCACTGGTCTCCCCATCCGCCCCCTTCCCCTTTCCCCGGGCTCGCAGCCGAAGTTCATCGGGAAGCCTAGTTTCGGACGGGGTAAAGGTGTTGCTGATATCCGTAGTCGCTCGAGTTTCATCGTGTGCATCTTGAGCCTGTATAGCCAATATCTGAAGTAATACTGGATATTGTATATATCAGCTTCATCGTCCCATTTGCAAAAAGGAATACGTGGCGAGCGAAAGAGAACGGGGGTAACAAACAGAGAGCTATAGGCAGTATGTGCCATCTCCTCGGCCGCTTCATCATTCCTGCTGTCACAAAGAAATGATTCTAAGAGAGTAGGTCATTGCGACTCATGCCACAAATGAAATGAAATCGACAGTGCTTGTGAAAAGCGTAGAATGCATTGTTCTGACGTTGTACGTACGGAGTTTTGGTATTTTGAAATACTTTGCGACTAGCTGAAGCTTGGGCTATATCTGGCCACATAAACTATTTAGTTAGCTGGTACCTCGGACACCGGAGCTTTGATGGGCCGATGTACCCCAGTCCAACCCACACAACAATGACGAACTACAGCCTGGGAACCCATACACATGTTCCTTTACACTCCATCAATTGTGAGTTTAGCAGCATTTGCTCTACTGCCTTAATTGTCGTTGGCTTCCCTGCTCTGCCAAAAGCCTCCCATGGTCTAGAATAACAGACAGAATTGCAACTTTAAGAGCCCTGCCGAATCACCAACTCTGCCGCGTTTTCTGCTTTGGGGACCGCCAGGATATTCTAACCACAAGCATTTGCCAACACGGTCACAAGAGAATTGCCTTAGTGCGATTTGTTCTTCTCTATAGGCTTTTACAGATATCTGACTTTTTGTGATCAAAAATTAAATCTTCTTGCCATTTACAGTGGTTCGCTATTTCGTCTACACTAGACAGGCCAAATATCCGGACGACACCTTTTCAAGTGCTGAGGTCAAAATTGATACATTTAAACTTATTAACAAGGGCACCAAACGTGGCGCTTCTCATGGCTAGATACGGATGCATAATTATCCCTTACTGTTGTGTACCAAGACTGCAAATTTGACGTGGAACAGCTAGAAGCTATCATGGTCGCTGAAGCTTCGCGTAGGATCATGATAATATGGCACGCTCATGGAAGGAGTTCTATCGGGACTTTGAATATGCATCCCCAGCTGGAACGGGAAGGGTCGAAGAGAGACCCGTGGGTACAAATTTGTGCTTCTAATTATGAATAGTGATGCTAGGGTTCTCAACGCATCGTTATGTGGCCACCTAGAGATTTCGGACATATACAAAGGTCGGAGATGGCAATGGACAAATATACTCCGTAAACGAGCGCGGCATCCCATACCATTCCGCCTTTACAACTGGGATCATCAGAACTGCCATTGCAACATCCAGGTATTCATAATCTCTTGGTCAATTGGCTTAAGCCGTTGCATCGTTATGCTCGCTTCCTGTGTCTTGTGAGTTTCTAGGACCGCAGGCTTACCATGACCATCAATTCCCGCAGCGAAAACGCTGCGAAAGAAGTCAAGAATCTTCAATGCCGGCTTCTGCTGAAGATCTCTCTGTGTTGGGTTCGCAATGGCCTCAAGGCTAGCAATCCAGGTTCGCGGTTCAACAATCGCCACAGGGAAATGTTTCTCAATAGCTGGTATAAGAGACTCCCATGCGGAGGCGGTTGGGTTAACTAGATGGAAAGCAGCACAACGAACTTCCTCTTCTGTCTTTCTCCTTGACCGAATTATATCGATGATTATTCGTGAAATGGTGTCCTACATCAAAGAGAATTAGCCATCTCATCAATAAAGCTCACATCCTTTCCCAGTCGGTTTGAATGATACGAGAATTGATTATGAGTCGATTGGGACTTCTGGCAACGCACCACGGGAATCCACTCCACTGATACCGTGCCAAGGGATGATGGAAGCTGTTTTATAGTTTTGGAGGTTGCAACCAAGGATGGAAACCATTCCTGCTTGTTCCACATTCCCTTTTCTGTTGTTGGGCCTCCAATTTGACCAACACGATGGATGCTAGTGGGTACAGCACAGTGAGAAGAGGCGAAGGCACAGACACGCTCTCCCACATGCTTGGATTCTCCATAGCCTGTACGCATTACCACGTCGGCATCTTCAAATATCTCTTCAGGGATCAATGGTCCGCGCTTGGCGCTATCCCACCCTTCCACTGTGGAAATCGAGGATATGAAATGGATATGGGCACGATGAATGCTGGAGATGCTGAAGTCAACAAGTCGACGAACTCCTTCTAGGTGTGGCTGTTCAAATGCTTCGACTTGATGGTTAAAATTAACCTTCCAAGCGTTGTGAACTACCGTATCAACAGTTTGGAGAAGCCGGTCATAAACATCGTTTGCAAGTCCAAGACGCTCATCTCCGAATTTGGCATGGAGGAATTCAACTCTAGAAGCGAAAGATCCGGTGGATGTTAAGCCCTTTTCCTGGAAACTCTGCACCTGTCTGGAAGCTGCATCTTCTGAGCGGTTTAAGCAATATACTTTAGCGACCGTGGGATCTAGAAGTAGCTCATGAAGCAGGTAGCTGCCGAGCGATCCGGTTGAGCCGGTAAGAATTACTGAATGCTTCTCAACTAGACCTGCGGTGTATTTTCCTACTAGAGCTGAAAGCTTGGAGGATCGTTCATTATCGTCCACCGGTTCCATCCTGTTCTCATCTGCCGTGTCTTTGCCCTGGATGAGGTCATACACGTAGCGTGAAAGAGCAAATATAGATGGGTGCGAGTATATTTGACGGCTAGAGAATGCCTCGTTACTCAGCTGTGGGTGATGAATACGGACCGCGCTTTGTAAAACCTGGCCAAGTTGGAGGGACTGTAGTGAATCAAGACCTAGAGAGAATATATCGCTATCGTCGCCAACTTCTTGGAACTCAAGCAGTTTTAACACTAGTTCCTTGACGTGCGGAAGAATTTCCTTTACTGTTGCATCCTTGGGGATACCAACAATCTCGTCGTCAGACTTATAGTACAACGCTTCGATCTCGTCACTGTAGTCTGCCGTGGCTATGCGTCGTTGGACAGTCCCCTTCGGTGTGGTTTTGAAAGGTTTTAAAACAGATGACAGGCCAATTTTTGATTTCATAAGGCGGCCATGGCTCGGAGCACCCACGTTCGCTTTTTGCACCATGGGCCAGACTTCCTCGATGAAATCCTTTTCATCTCCCTGCCAATCGTTCCAATTTGGCTCACAGAGGAGAGCTGCTTGGAATCTCCCTTGTCCTATAACAAGGGCTTTTGACACCAAGGGATGCCCTTGAATAATGGTTTCCATGGTTGTTGGATTAAATTTCTCTCCGTTGCTGAGAACTATTATATCGTCTCCACGACCAATATATTTCCATAGCCCTTGCTTCTGTGGATGAGGAGAAAAAAGATCTCCCGTGTGGTACTGCTGAATATCTGGGTATGTGTGAAAAATGCCATGGACGTGCCGATTTTCTCCTCGTGGTATGACCAACTCGAAGCTCCCATCCCCTTGGTCTTGCATATCAACCCCATAGAACGGATTCCATTCCAAATACTCCCAATCTTCACGTTCTTCTGCCTTCAGCGAAGCGATCAGGCCACTTTCACTTGCACCCAGTACACTCTGGACGTGAGTCAATTTGCAGAGTTTGTCGCCAATTACCGGTGACAGCGGTGCGCCTCCAACTCCGATGAAATGAAACTTAGCCAAAGTCTCTTGTCCTAACTTGGAGGCATAGAGCTCTTCTGCAACTGACGGAGGAAGAACCGCTGTTGTGGCTCCAGTGTCGCGGACAATTGTGGCTAACAACTCAGCCGTCATCGGCTTTTCTGGACTCAGCACAAATGGTGTCTCGCCACAAATTGCGGCAATCGACATAAGTAAGCCCATAAAATGGAAGAATGGGCTCATTGTAACAGCTAGTTTCCCGTGTTCAGTGACACTGAAAAGGCTGCTCGATCTTCCTGGTGGCGTTGCCATCTTTTGTATCATATTCTGCGCGGCGATGTATCCATGGGTAAGTGGCACTGGCTTTGGTAAACCTGCATCTTCTTAGTATCAAACCTGATATGGTCACCAATTAGCTTTGCGTTTTAAGATTTTCTAACCTACCTGTTGTTCCAGAACTATGGATGATTAGAGCAACCTCATCCTCTACGTCTCTTGGCTGCGTCCCCTTCAGGGGATACGACGGGACTTCATCATTGTTGAAAACCCCCCAAAGCTCCGGTGCTGTCCACGCCTTGATGTTTGGATCTCCTTTTTGCATTTCATGAACTTGCTTCTCTCGTTCCACACTATAGACAAACTTCGAACAACCAGTTTTCTCAAGAATGTGGTGGGAGGCTTCCGACGAATTTCGGGGTGAGAGCAGCAATGGCTGGTTTTGCCATTTCCATTTAGTTAGAGTGGTTTGCATCTGATTACAAGAGTTCTGAGTAGAAGCTTACTATATGTCCAATCTTCATACAGGCAAGGATAAAGGCAATGTAGCGTATGTCGTTCGATCCAAGATATGCCAATGTCTCTTGGTTTGATCCTGGAGACACGTTTTCTTCAATCCACTTGGCTAGATAATCCACCGCGCCCGACAGGTCCTTCATTGTAACCTTGCGCCATCCCTGCGAGATGTCGGAAGAAATAGAGTGGATGCAAAACAACTGATTTGGATTGTTTTCCTTGAGATAGTCAACCTCAGCTGCCAGAGTCCCTGATCCGAACTTCATAGATCCCATCTTGATGGTCTTGTTTTTTTTTTTTTTTTTGACTTTCCTTTTACTTTTTTCGATCTAAGGCAAAGCCTAAAAATATTCAGCATTCCAAGTTCAGTTTACAGCTTGAGTCCAGAGTGAGTTCAGGGAGAGCCTTGATTGATATATACCCCTACATCATGCATTGAGAAAGCTCATCCATGCAACCATCGCCAGCCACAAGCCACGACCACAGGTAATATGACCAAATTTGGTAGATCTCGTCGATCCGCGAACATGAAGTTGGGAGATTGAATTGCATTTAACTGGTCAAACTTTTGCCATGTGGCGCAATTATATTTTGAGGTTGGACGATTCCTGCAGCTCATTTATCAGCCATCCCAACCATGAATACATAACATGGCCAGATCCGTGGCATCCATTTAGGCCAATTTACAATTCTCCATAATTATTGAGCAAACATTCCACGCATACGCAGGGCTCCGGCATATTTGGAAAGAGGGCAGAAAGATGCGAGTTTAGTAGAATTATGCTTACTCTGGCCTCAGATCAACAAGGCCTCTTTTTGAGGTTGTTTTCTTTTTGTCCCACTTTCATGCAGCACAATAGCAGAAATAGCTTTCCTGCACTGGATCCACTCTGCCCTTCATCCTCGTACTTGTTGACTTGGATTTTGAACACCATTCTTCAGATTTAAACAGCGTCTGAGGAAACATAACCCTGAGGGAATTTGTAAGAGCTTTTGTGCCTGGTGGGGTCAAATGCAATTCTAACACATATTAAAAAGGAAGCAAGAAATGCCCACCTCTACACGCAGTCCTCTTACAGCCGCGCGGCAGTTGCACAAATGTTTCTGTGATTTCATATGATCTGCTTCTGCACACTGCTGCACAATATTGAGGTTGTTATTTAGTAGAGTCAAGGGAGATCAAGAGTGACAATGTATTCTCTCATGCTGATTTAAATGTAATCTACCATTATTCATTCACACCATCTAATTGCACACCTCTCCACTTTTAATATTATAATCAAAATTTACAATAATTATCAAGAAAAATCAGTTATTTACATCAGAATTATTTTCAGTATGCTGAGAGCGTGTACAAATAGTATGTTTCATAGTATCACATTTACTGCATTATAATGCTAGTAGTTATTGTGTAATTATCTATTAAACTCATGCAATGGGCTAGTTAGTTAACGCCTGGTTGATAACTAACTAATTAACCCTTTTTGTAACCAAAATGCTTACGCCCAAATTATGCTCTGACTCGTACAAAACTCTTCGCCGGCCTTCATCTTTCCTTCGAGAACACTTCTCTTTTCCTTTCTCCTTCTAACGAATTCGTCTTTTTGTTCTCTAAGGAAGTGCTAGGGCCGTATTCGGTAGCACGCCCATTACACTACGAGCTTTGAATTTTTAAATAAATAGAAAATACATAGATATATTTTAATTAGCTTAATTTATATTTATTATTTATATATTTATATAAAAGATAAAGTATACTTAGTTTGTATTAATATTCATTATTTAAATATTTTGTAAGTTTTCAAAATTTAACTTAGTAAAACGATCAATCCTCTACCACATCCGGTCTAGCGCACACGTGTTTTAGAGCGGCCGCTTCAGGTATTGATTGGTTGTGGCGAGTTCACGCCCTTGAGAAGTCATCTTCAGTTCACCCTTGACCGGTTTTTAGCTGCATACATTCAAACCGTTCATTGCCTTCATTCATATTGTCTTCCTGCTACTCACAGTTTGTGATAATGCCGAATACTGCCGCGGATGTTGAGTTGCTAGTCGCTCTCCTGACTGAGGTCAATGGGCAAGACCCACCTCGTCAAGAATGCATGGCACTGGACGATCCAATTCACGACCGCATGACTGTCGTTCTGGATGCTGTTGCAAACGTTCTTGTTTCAAAGCCAAAGGGAGAGGTAATTGCAGTGGGTTTCCAGCAACGACAAGAACCAGACAGAGAAATCATTTTGACTATCGCATCCAACAATGATCTCCCTGACCGTACCCTCCAGCACGCCCGCTTCCTCCTGGACAAGTTGCATGAACTCGGACAGGAATTTGCAAATTTCCGTCTAGAGAAAACAGCGCCTGATGACCGGGTTCCCTCCCCATGTATTGATGAGCATCAACTGCCACATGACCTACTAGAGAAGAGCAACCTATTTCGAAAAGACGCATTCCTCTTTTCTCTCCGAAAATTACGTCAACGGCTCAACAAACCCTGGGCAAGAACGTCTCGTGCAAGCGCGTTTATAGAATATGTTGATATTGTTGACAGTTCCCCGCGTTCCAAGGACCTTGATAACTGCGAACTGATTGGACATTTGCGACTTATTCGGAATGTGCTTAGATTTGCTCTTCCAGTCGTCAACCAAAACAATAATCACGATCCAAAAGACATGGCAAAGCTTGTGGATGGCATGGGCCAGGTGGACGTCGCACTACAAAAGATACAGAGAATTAATGCTTGGGAGGCTAAACTCTTCGTTATCACTGAAACAAAATTCCCTTTGGAACGATTTCTTAAGAAAGTTGTCTCCCTCTCTCGTGCAGTAGATACACTTCTGAAGTATGCACGATCCCCACGCCTGTACCGCCGGTATCTCAACCGAATGAAGATCCACGTTCAGCAGCTCAGTAACGCACCTCGCCCAATATCTCTCCCAACGGGCGATTGGAATGACATCTGCAAAGAAGTTCTTCTGCATCGCGCCGCGACGTCCCTCCTCAAGTTGATTACAGATGATTGCGATCAACCTGGAGCCGTCATACGCAGCCGCTTTGAGAACCAAGACACTGTCCAGGCTCCTGTTCATTGTGAGTGTGCGGTGGCCCTGCATCTCCTAGCTAGCGGGCGGGCAATCCCTTACATTGGCGTCTCCAAATTGTCATGCCTAGCTTGCGCGTTGTTTTTGAAAAGTCTGAGTCGTACTGGCCACCAGTTCTGTACAAAAGGAACACATGCAAAGGCTTACTTCCCCTGGAAGTATCCGGACATCGAGATAGCTGGTTCGCGTATATCTGAGGGACATCGCGCTGAGATCCTAGAGTCGTTCTATGAGAGTCTCTCCGAAATTTACGTCAGCTGCCTTCAAGCTCGCGAAAAGCTTCGCAAACTCTCTAACAGCTCTGCTGAGAATGGGTCCAGCGACACCCGCATGTTTGAATTCTCGTTTGAATGAAAGGCCGCCCGAAGATGGATGAAGAAGAATGAATGGATAATTAGTAGGTAGCGGGTGGCAAGAGCAAGACGCTAAACATCATTTCTGTAAGGCTACTATTAGTGCGTGGTTAGGTGCATGGGCGGTAATGAGCAAGGGTGCATGAAGAAAAGTTTGGCCAGTACAATGCTGAAAATGGTGCTAAGTGGACATGTTCCTCAATCAGGTAAGGCTGTATCCATGGCCCAGTTATTCTTTTAATTATCTGATAATTGTATTAGTAGCAGTAGCTCAGTAATTCATGCATTCAGACTTCCTACTTCCATTGTTTCTAGGGTGCTATTCAGCAGTAAGAGTAGCTATTTCCAGCTTTTGACTCGCCATGTGATCAGTAAATTGAGTTAATAAAGCAAATGAAAGTGATTTATAAACTGCAAAAGTAAAAACTAAAAGATAAATTTCCTACTATTATCTTAAACTGCATTTAATCTGTGAAGGATAGATTGCTTGATTGATTATGAAGTGATCACTAGCTACATGAAAGTTATAACATAATCAATCACTCAACTGGCCAGATCACTCAACTGGTCATCTTTTCAATTTCAACTCATCATCAACAATCAAAGCTCAATTTCTCAATCACAATGAAAATTCAAGCCTCTAATCAGGAAGAAAAACTTCTTTTAATCATTAAAGTATATGAAATCAAGCAAATTTCTAGCATTCAAGCTGCTGCTAAGGCCTATGATGTCTTTCATGTCACTCTATCCAATCAACTACATGAAGGCATTCCACATGTGAAATCTCAGTCTCAACATCAGAAATTGACATCTACAGAAGAAGAAGCTCTAGTTCAATGAATAATCTTCATGAATGAGAGAGGTCTACCCCTCTGAATTGCAAGTGTATGATATATGACCATTGAGCTACTCAAAGTCTGTGAATCTAGCATATTCTCTAGCATTGAAGAATGCTGAGTGCAGAGATTTATTAAACATCATTCTGAGCTGAAGATCAGACTCACACACAGATATGATCATCAGTGAGCTCTATGTGAAGATTCAGAGATTATAAAGAGATGATTTAGAATGATGAATAATGTCATGAAGAAGTATGAAATTCTATCTGAGAATATATATAATTTTGATGAAGTTGACTTTTTTATGAGAATTATTTTAACAATCTTAGTGATCACTAGATCAGAAAAAGCTGGAAAGACATCTCTTATACAGTCAGAAAATAGAGAATGAGTGACTGTGATTGAGTCAGTCAATGCAAGAGAACAAAGTCTGTCTTCAATGATTATTCTCAAGAGCAAGCTACATCAGACTTCATGGTATACAAACCTGCCAGCAGATTGAGTAATTGAGATTAGTGAGAATGACTGAACCACTGATCAGCTTGATCTAATATGACTGAAAGAGATGTTTAACAAGCATACTCAGACTTATACAGTTGAAAGATATAGACTCTTGATTCTAAATGAGCATGAAAGTCATGTCACTGCTGAATTTGATCAATTCTGCAGAGAGAATGTTATTATAGCTCTCTATATGTCATCTCATTCTTCTCATCTGCTGCAGTCACTAGATGTGAGCTGCTTTGTCTCTCTGAAGAAGACATATTGCAAGCAGATTGAATCTAGCATAAGACTTGACATTAATCATATGAATAAGAAGAAATTTCTAGAACTATATTCTGCTGCTAGAAAGAAGGCATTGAAGAATATAACTATTAAGAATGAATTCAGAGTCACAGACTTAGTGTCATTCAATGCAGAGGAGGTTCTTGAACACCTATATTATCAACTACATACATCAAGTCCCCCAGGCACATCTCATGAATCTCAGGCCTTCTGGACCCCAAAGACTCCCTGAAATGCTGTCCAATTGGAACGCCAATTCAACAAGCTCAAGCAGTTTATCAAGCATCGTACACAAAGCCTGCCTAGTCCTACCAACCAAGCTCTAGATCAACTAGTTTGGGGGTGCCAACTAGCTATGCATGGGGGTGCTCTTTTGGCTCAAGAGAACAAGGCTTTATGAGCTGCAAATGAGAAGCAGAAATGCAAGTGAGGACAAGGCCGTGTTTACATAGGTCAGGAAGGAATTCTGACTGGAGAAGAAGGATTAGCTAGAGCTCAGACTGCTCAGACTGCTCAGCAGATGGTGGATAGAGAGGTGGAGGATTCAAATCAACCCACTAAAAAGTGAGCACCAGCACGCTGCAGCAAGTGTGGGAATACTGGACATAGGGCCCCTGGATGCTTGCAGAGCTAGGATTTAATTGTATATAATTTTTTAATGGATAATTTAATATAGTGGTGGCAGAATTTAAAGATTTGTTTAATGTATAGTGGGGAGGTGGCCAGTTGAGTGATCTGGCCAGTTGAGTGATTGGTTACGTTATACAGTGCGGATTACGTAAGAAGGCGGATAGGCCTGACATAATCTTCTTATTTTTAAACCATTTTATAAAACCGCTTTATAATTTATATAAACCTCGTTAAGAATTCTTTTTATTTAAAATGTTATATATTCAACAACCTGACATTATATATATATATATATATATTGCTTATTCAATTAACTCTTTAATCTATTAGCAAAGTCTCTCTGTATTCGGACCGGATTCCAAGTGAATATTTAATCTGCTAAAGAGGGAATTTTGTGCTGGTTATGAATTTCCTCTCCAGTTTGCTATCCTCCGGTAGCTTCTGATGGGATCGCATTTCGTATTCCTCCTCTGTGCATTGATTTCCGGAGTCTGGCCATTTCAACACGTCTTGCCATGTTGTAAGACCTTCCGTTGGTTCCGAATCGCCATCTACCCTCCACCACCAGCAACGCCAGATTTGACAACTGATCTTATATAATAGTCATCGTGCGTTAAAAAGTTTACAATATGAGATTTTTTTTGTTCGTACCAAGGTCTCACTTGGCTGTTGTAAATAGTGGACGCTGCTGGAGGGCCGAGTCAGAAAGGCGAATGTCAAGCTGAAAGATGACCACAATATATCATTTCCATTTAACGGCCGATCCGGAGTGTACTCTCGGAGAAGATCAGTGCAAATAGGCATTGTCATGAATGTATCATTTTTAAGTTTGGTCCAGAGAACACATACCTCACGAACATGAAATCTAGATCACGATGAGGCTGGCACTCAACTTTGAGGATTTCCCCACAGCGGCTCTGCAGTTGGGATATGAATATCGCAAGCAGCTGGTTGGGTTAACGTTCCGTTTGTTCACCAATTGACTGGCGGTGATGTTCCCTACCTCACCATTAACCGTTTGCAAGGAGGGCCATTTCCATTTGTCAGGCTATCGTAGCTTGGGTTAAATACCAACCTCAACAGGTTTGAAATCCAGCCGGGAATATATCATTCTATCATCCCTGTAAAATAGCTGAATTAGATAATAATGATAACCCACCTTAAATCGTTAATCCTACCTAGAGATTTCTTTAATTGAAAAACGATTGTCCTGTATCCCTCAGTCAATCAGGGAGTGGCAGTGGGATCATCTTGCTCTCCGGTCAGATGGAATTGGCAGCAAGCGGAACTGCACAAGTCCAAGCAGTAGAAATCATTACCAGGATCTTCACCCAACATAGTGTCAAGCCTCTCCTCTGGGGGGGGGGGGGGGGGGCAATTCTGCTGATACTTAACCTATCACAGATGCAGCAAACGTATCATCAGTCTTGTCCAGGCATACAAGTCCACAGACATTGGCCTGGAGGGCCTCGTTCTTCGAGTCGATGGAGTCTGGCTAGAGACCGAAATAAACGCCAACCTTAACACGGGTTCGTCAAAAGTCACCTGCGCCTACTAAGCTTCCAGGAGGAATGCCTAGAGACGCTGGGGTAGAAATTACACAACTCCCTCTGGCTGCTGGAGAGTTACACCGCAACAGAGCATTCCAGAGGCATCGATGTTGGCCATGGTTATCGGGACATTTTCATCCTGAACAAGCACACCAAGATGAAGTATAGTGTGCGCTAGCGGCGTTTACAAGCGTTGATATCGGACTTGGAATCATTCCATTTTCGACCCATCCTTTTACATCATCTTCGCCCGCGTTGCCAGCGAGAAAATCAACGACGCACCCAATAGAACGGTGGTCGACAACGCAGATCGTAACAGACCGTCTAGGAAATCCGAGCACACATCCATGCCTCTTCCCCTACATCGAAAATCCCGCTATCCAAGTTACCGATCCCGCCCCCAAATTGCATCTCAAATCACTGCAAAATGGTACATAGCTCCTCCCTCCGCCTCGCCACACTCGCCCAGACCAGCCAGACGGTAATATTAGACCGCACTGCATACCCAGAAGACATCGATGCCAACACCACCCGAGCCGCCAGGGCCAGGGCCCGTGGCCGCAGGAATAGTACAAGATGCAGCAATGACATATACAGTCTTGGCGTATGTCTGTTGGAAATCGAGTTGTGCACGTCATTTGCCGTGCTGCGTGGTGGAGAAGGAGAAGAAGGTTTGGGGGGGGGGGGGGGCCGGGCTGGGGATTAAGGAGAAGTTGGTGAATAGAGATAGCATGGCCCAGTTACCTAGTTAGATGGGGCGCACGTATACAGGGGTTGTGCTGGCATGTTTGACCGAGGAGATGTATGATGAAAATGGGATAGTGGTTGGTGTTATGTTTATTGAGAAGATTCTTGTAGGTATTAGGCTTTGACTTGTAGCAGATGTTTAGTGTAATGTTGCAGTTTATATACCATGGGGTTACAACCACTAAATGAAGGTTCAAAGGGTCGTTGGGGATAGATAGTTCGATGTTTGACTTTGAAGTCCATCTGATGGTCACGTGTGCCAAATTGGGGTCTGAGGGAAATGAATTCAATCAGATATGTCATTATTTAGTTACCTGTTGCTCCTGATTAATTCTTCTAACCATCAAAGACAACTTCTCGCTGTCTTGAAAGAAGTTTTCTTTAAAGAGGTAAAAAGGGGGGGCTACATAGGGAGCACACGGATGAACATAGGTGGTATCGCAGCAGAAATATTCAAACCAACCCCTTAGTCGGAAAGAAACAGCA